CCACAAGTGTTTGCTTTAACTCTTCACTGCTGCTGGTGCCATCATCCTGCTTGTGATTCCTCAGGCATCTCCTCCAGCCTCTGGTGAGATTCCCCAGCCCAAAGAGAGGACTTTACAGCCTTTGGAATGGCAGGGACCTGCTCAGGGGGTGGTTTTTCTCGCCAGTGAACACCACTAGGAGCACTCACTGACTCTTTCCCCAAGCTGTGTTGGTCCAACAGCTGCGTCTTTGCTTCCCAGGACAGTTTTGTTTCAAGCTGAAATTAAGAGCCTCCACTCTCTGAGTGGATCTGTGGGGCTGATTCAAGCCAGATGACGTGGTGAGGAATTCACAAGTGCTCTGTGGTGTTTGCTGTCAGAGAACTTTGGTTGTGTTGTGTTAAAATGAAGAGGAAGGTGAGGGCAGTGGGGAGGGCAGCCAGGCTGTCCCTGGTGTGATGGCAAACACTGCTGGTGTGCCAGGCTCTCCTGTGCATAACCAGCAGAAATAGGAAATATTTGATCTGTTTTGGCCTTGGACCTTGTTATTCAGGGGAACATAGAATAATAAAGGAGCATTTTGAGTGATTTGGTTAGAAATGCATCAGCCTGTCAGACAGTCTGGTGGCATCAATAATTCCCTATTAAGGCCTCTACACCCATTACGGTTTGTGCTTTTACTTTTTTTTTTTTTTTTCTAAGTTAGTTTCCAGGCAACCAGTAAGAACTGAATTACATTAAGCTGTTAATTCAGCCTTGCACACCAGCTCTGGGTTCTGCAACCCATTTGTTCCTCTTGTACACAAGTTTCCTCCTAAAAAAACCCTTTTATTGGTTTAATCTGCAGTAGCACCAGCCCTGCTTTTCAAATGGCAGTGTCTGCCTGGATTTTGGTTCTTGTGGCACTGACAGCTCTGCTCCACTCGAGACCTCCCAGCCCTGAGCACTTGCTCTGGCCAGGAACTGCAAACCCTGATCTGCCCTTTGGCTGAAGAACACGAGGAAATACAGCCTTTGGTTTGTGTAAACGGTCTGGAAAACTGAAATGTGGGGAATCCTTTGACTGACAGAAAGCTGGAGCGCAGGAGCAGAGTCTGGTTGGTGTATTTTGCACACAGGTAGGCACATGTTTTGTCAGAGAACTCCTTCCTGTCAGGGGGAACACGTGGATTTAAGAATGCAGCTTATTAATTAACACCTGGATGGGAAGTTCATGTGCATCAATCCTGGGAAAGTGAAGGAGAGGCAGTAATGAGACAGAAGCACCCTGAGCGTGACATGCAAGCCTGTGCTGAAAAGGAGCAGTGTTGGTGTTGTGCTGCACAGCTCAGAGGGAGCCAGGCTGGCAGGTTGGTGATCAGCTGCCCTACTCATCCCCTGAACAAAGCCTGACAGCTTCCCTTCCAGGCTCAGCTGAAAAGGGGGGGTCTGCAAGTGGGAGGGAGATTTTGGGGATGAAATTGCAGTTTTGGCTAATAATTTATGAGCCATGAAACCCAACCTGTGGCTGGATTGAGCTAAAATGTGTTATGTGTGAAGGGTCAGGAAGGTCATTAACCATTCCCCAAGCTATTTTGTTACTTGGGATATGTTGTATATAGACCTGGAAGTCACTTGGGAAGTTGTGCTGGTCATTTTTGGTGGGACTGCCATTAGAATAATCAATGTTAATTAAAAGAGTTTGACTTTAGCCACTGCTAAAAAAATAACAAAAAAATTGTAATGCATAAATATAATACCCTAAAAGACTGAAAGCAAAGCACCAAGACAAGGCCATTTCAGACCAAGCTGCCACTGCTTTTGTAGAACAGTTGCCTTGGGATACCACTGTTACAGCAATTTTTTAAAAAAGATATTTATTTAAAAAATAAACTACAGTTTTGAGCTCTTTCCGGTTTCTGTTATTGAGAGATCTGGGATATGAAAGTGAATCACAGAGGTGACAAATCCAGACCACAAAAGATAACCATGTCTTCATCAAACTTCACTGGAAAAACAGAGTTATTAAAGCTCTGCTGATTAGAGCAGAACACATAATAAATGCTCTTCCCTGAAGAAGCCATAAGAACTTATGTAGCTAAAAAGGGGTTTTATGCCTCATGGGTTGCTCAGATCTCTTGCAACAATTATAATCACCAGAGTGTTTTCCCCTTTCCATTTATCACTGGAACGAGGGATGTGTTTCCATCCTGAGGGGCTGTGGTTCTATCAGCAGCTCCAGGAAAACCCCCTGTGGTCAATATGTTGAATCTAATCACGTTCTCCATTTCTGGGACATATTTTATTAAACATTTTCATCACTTTCAACTGTGCATTCATACCTCAACAGATTTATATCTGTAATTAGGGGATTGTTATTTACCAGCTGGTAAAAAGACACCTTTCAGCAACATAATTCAAATGTCATGAGTTACTGCCAGTTCCAGGTTCATAGTACAGTTATTTCTTTTGCTACAAGTTAGGAACGTGTCTGCTGTCAGAAACCTTTGGAAATGGTTCAGAAATCCTGGGAAACAGCTATCTGTGTTTGTCCAGCTAAAGGAAATCAGAGGTATGGGAAAGAAAGTGATCCCTCTCCAAGATCTACGTTCAGTAATGAGTTGTTTTTATTTAACAAAGTCTCTAACAGATGGTGTTTCTAAATTTTGAATATTAGGGCTGGTTTTGCAAGAGGCCTCCACGCACTGATGTACCATGGATGAGGTTTTAATTTCAGCTGGAGCTGAGAGCTGGTTGTGTGGTTGCTCCTGGTGGCACAAAGGCACCAGCTCCTGGTGGGGAAGCCACACAAGGGGGACAGCCCTTGTGTCTGCAGCCACTGCCACCCAAAGTACTGCCCTGGGGAGGGGGATTTGGTCTGTGCTCATCACCACCCCCTTTATCAGTCAGTGTTCTGATCTCACATTAATTTGACAAGCTGTGTTTTCCAGAAATCCATGTTTCCTGGACATTAAGGAGCAGACCACGGTGCTGCCAGCCAAGCCTAACCAACACCCCTGTTGTTCCTCCTTTGCCACATTCCTGCAAGTCTTTCCCAGTATCAGGGAAGTGTTCCCAGTTGTGCAGTCGTTCCACGCATACAAAGCACACGTGGACTGCACTGTCATCATTAAATCTCTTTTCTCCTCCAGCAATTCAGGGGGGTGGGGGTTGTTCCATGTGGAAATGCAAATGATCTAAATGAAGGGTGACTCTGCACAGGTAATTCATGAGAGTAGCTTTGGGGAAACATCAGCCAGGGTGAGAAGGAGGAGAAATTTGAATTCGATTGGATTTTAGTAACTTCAGATTGGCTCTGAATCATATTTACATGCTTTTGCCTCTCTCCTGTGTTTGCAGGTTTTATTGCTGTGGTTCTCCATGTCTTGGAGAATTCCAGGTGAATTCCAGGTTGTTATGGTGAGGGGAGCAGAACTGCGGCAGCGAGCAACGAGAGCGTTCCCTGGAGTCCTTCCCAGGAAAGCTGAGCAAAACCTGGAGCTGAACCCAGAGCCCAGGAGGCACAGAATGGCCCCACAGTGTGTGCTGGTACGTGCCAGGAGCCACCAGGAAACTCAGCTCGAGTTTTCCGACTCAATCAGCACAAGGAACGCTGAGGGAAACAGGGGCGTTCCAGCCCAAACCCCGCCTGCCTCTCCCAGAGCCCCAGGAGCTTTGCAGCTTTCCTGCCATTGCTTCCAGCAGTGCCTGGATGGGAGGATTTGGTGCAGTTTCAGGCTGAGGATGAAAGTGAGAAACCATTTAACACCCCGAGCTCCAACGGGAGCAGCAGCGGGAGCCGCGCTGATGGAAATGCCCCAAATTGATGGTGGGTTTAGGGAGGTTCTTTGTTACTGTTGGCTGCAAGATTTCTGTGAAAGCTTTTCTAAATATGCATTTCAGGAGAAGGCAGAGACTTCTTGCAGGGCGAACCAAATCTGAAATTACAGTTCTCGAACGAGAACTGCGCTTGTAAAATGAAAAACATGATGTGGCACAGCAAAAATAGGACCATTGTCCTGAAGGCTTTGGATCTGGCCTTTAAAGTGTGGTTTGGGGCTTAATCATCAAATGGTTTTGTCATAGCAATTTGACTCGAGTGGTTCTTTGCTTATACTGAAGACTTAAATTGCACACTCATTTTCAAGGAAATAATTTTAAATAATGCAGCTGTTAAAGTTGCCTGGTTTGACTGTTGGATTTTGAGTATTTGCTGGGTAATATCTGCTTATTCACTCCTTCCACTTCACCTGGAGGCCTCTCCTTTACATGGGATCTGGCCATGGGGGACTTTATTCTTCTCCAGACACCAGCCCTGCACTCCCACGTGCACTTGAGGTTTGGAGCAATCCCAACACCCCCTAAAATGACCAGGTAAAGGCTGGAGTTCCTGCTGGTGAACCCAGCGTGGAGGACCTGGCCACCAAAGGCAAAGGTGGAGGTGGAATGGCTCTGCCTCCCACAGGGATTGTACTCATAGTCGTTTTCTACTTCTCCTGATTTTTTAGAGTGCGTTCAGAGAATCACAGAATGACTAAGGTTGGAAAATACCTCCGAGATCATCAAGTCCAACCTTCCCTAGATGTGAACAATACCATAATTATATTGGTATAGAAACGGAAAAGGAACTCCAAAATATTTTGATCTGGAGAATTTGAGTTTAGTTCTAGTGGGAATTAAGCAGGAGAATTTTCAAGTAATTTATGTTTGAAATGCCTTCATAACTTCTGCTTCATAAAAACAGAGAGGATCATAAAATGACAGTAAAAGTCCCATTTTGGAACTGGATATTCTCCCTCCTGGCAGGAAGGAGCAAAGGTAATTTGCTGTGTTTCAGAGAGATCGTCAGTAGTTACTGTGATTTCAAATGATGTCACAGTTACACTGAGACATCTCCATCCTGCGACTCCCAGACGGTGCTTTGATGGTGAGTTGGTGATTTATGGCTTTGAATTCGTGTTTGGAATTGATGTCCTGGTTAGCAATGATAAAACCTCTGCAGCTCCCGTGGTTCACCCAGGCCAGAGGTTGGGCAGGGCACTGGTGAGAGCTTTGTCCTTTGGAAATCCAGGCAGGAGCTGCCTCTGTTGAGGTGGGACCTCCTTATGTAACCCACTTGCTACTGAAGTACCTCAGTGTAAATGGAAAAGTTAAGAAGAAAATACAAGAAGAAACACAAGAGGGTTTTTTTCCTCCTTAAGTGCTCTCATGGGTTTGCTGTCTTTTACTTGTTCCTCTCTTATCCAAAATGAAACTTTCTTCTTTTTTTTTGCCCCTCAAAAAGCATGGAAAGAAAAATTGCTAATGAATCAAAGTACAAGAAAAGTTAATGGTTGTGTCCAGAGCACTGATTTTTCCTCATGGGTGTGGCAGAACTAGAACTGGAGCCCACGTGGAGTCTCCATCCAATGCTGCTCTGCACTCATCAGCCATCCCTCCAATTAATTAACTGCCTGAAATTAATATACAGACCAGCATCACTTTTAATTTCATTTTCTGTTACTCCAAACTGAATTGCCTTTAATAAAAACCTTACAAAAAGCAGATTTACTCTTATCTGCTCATGCCAACCCTGAGCCACCATTGGCATGTTTTACATGAGCCCAAGTTCTACCCTGAGTTAATGAACAAGGCAGAGTGGGAATATAAGACAACTTTTAAACCTACAGATAATGCAGAACACTGTCAAATGGGGAATTCAAGAGAAAGAGGAAAACCTCTCCGAGTTTAACACAAAAATAAATGATGGTTTTAGCACTGCTACACGAACATTGCATTTCCCAGAAGCAGAAACTTGTTTGGATCTGGGTCAAGAGGAAAAAAAAAAAAAAAAAAAAAGTTGCTGAAATTAAGAACACTTCGAAGTTTGGATTGATTAGAAGTGAGTGAGGTTTGTTGTCATAAGGTTTTTGTAAGGGCTGAGGAGTTTGTGTTTGACTTTATTCTTAAATATTTACGAGAAAACTAACCACTGTGTTTTTGGCTCTGTAAATATTGACAGCAGGGTTTCATCTTTCATTAGGAGGACCAATATTTGCAGAATTGAATCCGTGACCCTCAGGTTAAATGCACAGGGAGATGGGAGGGGGATCTTGTCACTGCAATGAGGGGTCAAACTGGCTGATTCCAGTAGAGATAAAGGGGGAGAATGGGGGAATTATGGACCTTTTCTGTTAAAACACACCAAATGTTTGAGCAAGGGATGCTCTTCTCCCTCAGGTGAAGTGTCCCAGGTATCTCCTGCTCGTGGCTTTCAGGCTGGTGTGGGTCTGGTTTCTCCTTCTCTCTGCCTTTGCTCTGGTGACAACGTGCTCTTGAGGGAGCTTGGCTGATGCTGCAGCCCTTGCCGGCCCTGCTAAGCTTTACAGCTGGAATTTTATATCCATGGAGGTCTGTGAAAATCCTCCTAATTTTTGCAAGCCCTCATTTAAATCCCAGGTAATTAATTATCCACTGTGGCAAAGCTCAGCATCCCTTCCTAGAGGTGTTGCAGGTGCATCTAGTGGAAGTTCCTGACTTCAAAATCCACAATCCTTGAGTAAACATTGCACCTAAATTTTGGGGTTGGATTTGGTTGATCTATGAGCTGGAAATTCCTAAGTAGCATTTGTCCATAGATAACATGAGTCAAAGGCCTGACTTTTTAAAGGAATTCCATGTTTCCCACCTGAAGCAATCG